TATTCCCTATAAAAAACTGTTTTTTATATAGAGCAGTTGCTGGAATTCATTCCTGGCTTCATTGTGCTTTTTTCTACAATTCATTGTCTTATCAAAGCATATTTGGAAGTTTATTCATGTCAGTTTCAAACAAGCCAGTTAAGAGATGCCTTGTCACCCCTTTTTATCATTTGCAAATTTGCTAAGAATTCTATGTGCAGATATTTCATCATCAAAATCATTAAAGAAAATGTTGATGAATACCCTCCTTAGAACTGGCCTGTAAAACCCATTAACGCTTCACTCTAGTTTGTTGGGGAACCATAGATTACAAGCTAACTGTAGAATTAATAATTAATAGTACTGAGTGAACTAGTACTCAGAGGGATATGGCATATTTTCTTCAATTAATCTTATTTTTTGATCTGGTAGCAGATTGCTAGAATGATATGCAAACAGTATAGCTTGATTTCAATTTGACAAAACTACCCTTTTGGCAAACCTGCCTGTCTTAATCACTGTATTATTTTCAAGAAGCTTGCAAATCAATTACTTTATGATATGCTGTAGAATCGTCTTGGATATCAGTGTCAAACTGAGCAGTATGTGTATGTGTGTGAGAACTGAAGTGAACCTTAACTCCTTCCAACTACATGGATAAATGTTTATCCACAAAAGTAGCAGATATATTGCTCCTTTTCCTTTTATTTTGAGTAAAATAAACAAACTGTTTAAGACTATCCTTTTGTTGTCCTTAAATTGTCTTCTAAGCTTCAGTCTTCTGACACTTTATCTACAAATCCTGACTCTCTTTATGTACTTTCTTTGGTGATTTATTTTTCCCCCTTCTTTTTGTGTCCTTTTTAATTTTTTTCATTATTACTCAGGTTTCAGTAAGGGCATAATGTCATCTTCTATGTGATTTTACTGGGTTTTTTTTTCTTCATTTGAATTATGTTTACTTATTGTATGCTTTTAGTATCTTCTTTTAGGATTTCTTTTTTCTTCCTGTTATCCATATGAGAGTTGAGTACATATGATCTTCAAAGCAATTATAGTTGCCGTCACAACAAAGCAGTTGTCTAATGAGTATGTCTCATTGCCAAATACATTCTTCATTCATAATGAAGTGAGCAGAAAAACAAGGAAGCTCACAGCAGATCAAGATCTAATGACCATAAGATCAAACAATAAGACAATCCTCTTAACTGCTGAACCAGTTCTAAGGCTGTTGTAAACACAGTGTCAGTCACAGGTTTTTCAAGCATTATAACTACATTTACTAAACATATTGTTCACCAAGCCAGATCTTCCAATATATATCCATCAGATTGATAAATCTATTATTTTTTACAATTCCCAGCAGCATGTTCAATAGCTGGACCTGAGCAGATGAAATATGTAGATCTAGCCAACTGCTGTTAACAACTGACATTTCACACAATAGACAAGCTTTGAACAAAGAAATAAGGACGCTCTTATTTCTTTTGAATGTGCATAGAGGAATTGTATTTTCTTATATGCATCTGTAGAAACAATGGCAGAAAGTCAAAAGAGAAATCAGCCTAGAGTCTCTATGTGGCCACAAATAGACTACCTTGAACTTCTCTTGAATTCCATTTACTCTTATCTAATGCATGATTAGTAATGTGTGTCCCTAAACTTTCACGCCTTACAGCATCCTAAGCTTCATTGTAGTATTTCAATCTTTAATAAATATATTACATAGAACTTATTAATAGAATATAATGTTGAACAAGCCTTATACTTGCATACTTTATTTAAAAACAAGTTATATTGTTATCAATATCAATACATTATCAATATATCTATATATCTACTGAAAATGCACATCAGCTTTCCCCCCCATATATTTTATTGATTTTTTTAAACATAAATCACTTAATAGTTGTTAAAGAGTGTGTTTGCTGGGTTTACATTTGTAAAGAAAAATCATTAACAATTGGTTTCTATAATCCATAATCCACATAGTACATTTAGTTGATTTCCCCTTTTCCCAAAAATGTCTTATTTGTAAACCTTGAAATAATACAGTTCTTATTATTTTGATAAATAACAGTTACATACATGATTTTTCCCAATATTCCTAGAAATAATGATTACATCAATATGATATTTATTTTCTATCTAATCATTCTGTTGCCTCATCTTATAAAGTTTAAAAATCATGTTACAGTCCTTATTTAGATTTGTTTCTCCCATAAAATTCAAAGTATTCTTGCTGGTTCAGATTTTCTCAACAGTTAATTACATTTAAAGATTTAATTTCATTTTTTCCTATGTAAACTATCTCAAGATTTCTTAAAGAATAGGTAAAAACAGTAAAGAAAAGGAAAAGAGAACAAGAGTAAAGAAACATAAAAAGTAAAATACTACTTAAAATATATATTTCTCCTAAGATATATTCATTCCCAAAATTTCTTATTCTTTTTAACCATGATTAAAAATATATTTAATCTTTAAATGTTCTATTTAATGTGCCTAGTCATCTAATCCTTTAACTCTTATTTCAAAACATTTTTTTCTTTTTTATACATTATAATTTCCCTAAATTCAGACACATTTAATTATCTAAAACATTTCCTTCATCTAGGCCATTTCAGCAGTATTATATTACTTATATCAAGAAATAAAATAAAGGGGGGGAGTATACAGTATTATTTAAGGAATTTATCTCTCTTAGAATGACATTTGTATTCAGAATCTTTTCTATTTCTTTAACCATATTCAAACAAATGTTTCTTTTTTAAATATTCTCTCTAGTAGATCCCATCATCTATTTTCTTAATTTTCACTTTGATCTTTTTCTTTTGACCAGTATCTTTCTTGATCAATGTGTTTTGCTGAATCAAAAAGTTTTTCCATATATTCATGACCGTTGCTGTAGATATAAGAAGTAAATTGAATAAAGTGTCTTTATGTGAGGCACTTTTGCCTTTCCATGTTCCTTGAAAACGTTTTTTCTCTTTCTCCTTCTTTGCTTCTCTTATCATTTCCTTTCTCTCTAATGGTTTCAACATCTCTACATTCCATTTTATCCACTCTGTTTTTTTGTCCTCAGATTTATTTTGTAGTCTTAAAGGATGAGTTGTTTTTTTCCATTTCTTGTAATTTTTTCCCACTAGGATTAAATTGTTTTGCTTTGTTAAGTTCCGTCTTTGAGTCTCTATTTTCAATTTTATGTCCACTTATTTGTTTTGTCTGCTCCTTCTCTGTTGTTGTTTCCTAGAAGTTTTTTTGTTGTAAAGTTAACTTAGAGATAGATTGATTTGTATTTTCAAAGCTATTTTGGATTTCTTTGTGATTTGAACTCAGTGTTATTTGAATTAATTGCAGTATATATCTCCTCCTGAGAGATATTTATGTTTTCTTGGTGTGTTCTGTTTACATATCTCTGATCCATGATGGTCAAAAGTTGGAGTTTTCCTTCTTATCTGCAAATAGCTTTAGATCCCGGTTAAATAGATATTTATAATCCAAAGAGTTTAAAAAAGATTTTTTTTCTAAAGTTTATAATTCTCTTTTTGTCTGCAGTCCATATTGTTGTCTTTTTTTGTCACAGCTGTTCTTTATTATTAAAGCTTTGAAGGTCACAAACACAGATTAGCTTTTCCCAGGTTCTGGCAAGTTCTCTATGGAAATCATAGCTGTCATAATCTTCATTCACCACTAGGTGTCAGCATCTATTTAGTTTTCAATATGAACAATGGTCTTTAAAATGATAATCTTAACCATTCAGCAATCTTAAACTTGTCCAAAGTTAAATTTTAGCTTTCAAGTTTATAAATTTATTTCACTACTGTATATTTTCATCCTCCATATAAATTTTAATTCACTGCTTCCACTAGTATAAGGATGGGGCGGAGGTCCCCCTCCTCACTTTCGGAGGTATTTTGCTTCTTGGGGATCTTTTCCAGTAAAATTAAGTGTAGAATAGAGAAGGGAAAATCAGATTCCTCACCCATTTTCAAGCACACTGTTTACTGTAGTGCTGGTTAGTTCTTTTGGACTCTGGTTACAAGTAGCTTGGGCTGATCGATGAAATACAGCTTTTCTCCTGTTGTGTTAGAAGACTTTCCCCAAGACGAACAGAACAACCTCCATCATTCCAGAGTCGCCGGGGCACCCTTCTTTCTTCGCCACCTCTCCGGAGCTGCTTGGACCCATTAGGGTCTCGAGACAGGACGAAAGTTGGCTGCAGGGGTGGAGTGGCCCACAAGCCCGCAACCAGTCGCTACTGTGCAGGACCGGAAGTCTCAAAAATGCACATCAGCTTTTACACTACTATATCAGCCTTCCAAATATATTATTTTGTGCTGTGTATTTTATTTTTATTTTTATCAGAAAATTAGTGCAATATTTTATAGAAATTCTATTCTTAAATATTGACTATGTCCAATATTCAGTAGTTTGGGGCTTATATTTTAAGATTATTTAAATGGAATTTAAGAAAGGCAATTTTCCCATTTCCTATCTCTTCTTTACCAATGCAAGCTCTCTTTATCAGGATTCTACTTTTTTTGAGTATCACAGACTGTAATAGAAGAATAGAAGTAACAAATAACTTCATTTGCATAAATTGCCTTCATTATTTTGTAAGATCAAAATATCTGAATTACAAATACAGATAAATGGCCTTCTTATTTCTGTATGAAGTGCTGTATGAATAAATAGTCCATTTTTTACTTTTGAAATAATTAAACGGCTAACTTTATGGCTTCTAAGTATTTGCTCTACTTGAGTTTGGAATACATCTTGAAATAGATGTGTAAAACCAGAATCTCTTAAAATTGCATTATATTATTAGCTACATGTCTCAATAGCTTTTTAAAGCTATTATTATATTATACAATAGCTATTATATCTTATTATATATTAGTCAAAGTTTATGACAACCATTAAGAAAAATTAGGAATTTCCTCTAATTTTCCTCTAATTTCCCTAACCCTAACCCTTCTCTAAATCTGAGACAACCACGCTATACAAGAGATTGAACTTACTCTGGAAGTCTTGATAAGATACCTGCAGACAAAGATGTTATATCATCACTGTGGACGAATGAGACATGTCTCTTCTGGGCCCACTTAATTATGAACTCCAGCAAAATCAGGGTAATAAACAAGGGAGTTGCCTAAAATGAAAGGGAAAAGACATAAACAAAGTAAAGATATTATGTACATTCTGTTTTTGCTTTTCAATAATGATCTAAATTTGAACACACATATTTTGGTATTATTTCCTCTACAGCATTATCTATATATCTTAATGAGTGTATCATTGTAGATAAACATGGTTTGTAAAGGATGCTGAAAGGATCTTAATGAGTGTATCATTGTAGATAAACATGGTTTGTAAAGGATGCTGAAAGTCCATGTACATCTCTATTCAGCCTGACTTAGAACCATTCTGGCCCTCAATGCTCAGAAAATATGTAACATGTATCAGTATCTGTATCATTCATATCTGATTCTGATTAAGGGCAGGAAAACAATCTTTATATATTAAAAATTACTATGCCACAGGAGAGGCAATTAGTGACTTTATTCAAAGTTCAATAAAAAAACTAATCATCGCCAAGGTTAGAATACTGAATATACATACATACATACATACATACATACATACATACATACATACATACATACATACATACATACATACATATTAATGAAGAAAAGATGCCAATTAATGCCAACTGGATTTTTTCCCTATTTCAGTTACATGGGGAATGGGGAGTGAGTTGGGTTTCTGGGTGTTTTAATTTCAGCACAAGTTGGAAAAAAACTCCTTAAATGTAGCCATGATAAGTGATCACACTAATATAATGTCTTGCAGACTGCTTTGTAGATGTTCTTACTTTTAATACATATACCGTGTTTCCTAAAAATAAGATCAGGTCTTATATGTATTTTTGGTCCAAAAGACCCGTTAGGGCTTATTTTGGGGAGATATTTTTCCATGTACGGGAGGCAGAGAGCATGCAGGGGCCAAAGCCGCAGCCTGCCCGCCCCTTGGCCGGCGCACTCTGGCACTGTGAAGCCCACACAGCGCAGGTGAGTGGGAGCACTGCTACTGCCGGCCTGGCCCTGCTGGACGTGCCACTCCATCCCATCTGGTTGCTCGTGGCTGCAACAGAGCAGGAGGCCATGTGGCACATTGGTGCCACCATGACGTGAAATGAGACAGGTGGCAGGGTGGCACAGGTGAAAAGCAAGACAGGCAACAGAGCAACCACACATCTCAGGGCCCCTGCAGCCAGGCCATCCAAGCCCCTTCACCTGCCTCGCCTCACTTCATGGTGGCAGCACTGGCATGGCCACACTAATATTAATAAAGAATTAACATGTTTTGAAGTAACATGACAAAAAGGCACCCTGTCTCCTATCAACCAGTACAGGTACTTTAATTATCAGTGATAGTCCCTCTTTGCATTCTATCTATAATTATAGATATAATTTCAGATTCCATCCTTAGAATGAAAAAAATTCTGAAAGGCAGAACTGGATTTCTACATTGTTCTAAGCCATGATTTGACTTAAAAATAATAAATAAATGTGGCATAGGAAATTAAAAAAAATAATTAAGAAATTAAGAAATCAGGGCAAAGTTTTCATCCCATCAAGTCAAAGGTATATAAATCATATTGTGTCCCAGAGTTATTTCATTTATTTTATTTGCTTGTGATATATCTCTTCTTTCATTCAGAAGAAACAGCAGCTCACTTTTGTACTGCTGCCAGGAACATAAGACATAGTTTGTTTCTTTTTCATATTTTTAAATTGTCCATCCCTCAAGGATAACAATACTTAGGCTTATACATCACTTCACAGCGCTTTACTGCCAGCCCTCTCTAAGCAGTTTTCAGAGTCAGCATATTGCCCCCAACAATATGCTGGGGACAATATGCCCATTTTACCGACCTCAGAACAATGGAAGGATGAGTCAACCTTGAACAGGGGAGAATCGAACTGCCAAACTGCTGGCAGCTGGCAGTCAGCAGAATTAGCCTGCAGTACTGCATTCTAACCACTGTGCCATGGCTCCTGTAGAATATAAGACATCATACATTGAATCACTCCTGCATTTTTTTCCAAAATATCCTTAAAGGAAAATTGGACTGAGAAATAGTGACTGGCCCAAAGTACACAAATGCAGCCACTTTCTCCCAATCTTTTTATGTTGGGATTCAAAAAGCTAAGCAAAAAAGTTCATTGACCTAAGACATGTACAAAAATAGAAAAATAATATGTTCCTTCTAACTAAAGGGGAAGGAGTGAAAATAAGGAGGCTATGTCTACCAAGCTGTACACTCATATGGTTCAAGTCAGGTTCAGAATATAGCATACTTTGGACCAATTGCATCTCTTAAAGGGGGGTGGGTCTTGATCTTTTCCAAATGTATTGCACTACTGTATAGCCCCCATCAACCTGAAGACAATGAGAGTTGGCCCTCAAAAGGTGAGTCTCCTTTCAGTTCAGCTTGATTCCTGGTGACTTCATTAAACATTTTCATGTTTTCTTAAGACCAGTGAGATAGTTTCTTTTTTCCTGAGATATTATTTTTTAAGTTCCTAGTTTAGCCAGGAGCCGAGTTTTTCTGCGTCCTGATTCTTCTGCCATTCAAGCGGAGCTTCTTTGGGAATCAGGTTGGCTAAAGATTACTGCCTCACAAAAGACAGTCTTCTTCCAAACGACTTGGTGATTTCATAACCACCTCCCTGCACTCGCGGAGGCGGGGAAGCCAGGGTGAGCGGAAAGAGAGAAAACGCTTCCTAAATCTAAAAAAAAAAAAAAAAATCAGAGGAATTTTTTTCCTCCGCGCTCAGTGTTCAAATGTGAGTTTTCAAGGTCCCGTTTTCATCCCATTCACAAACAGGCTACGTTCTCCAAACGCAGCGGGCTTCGCAACTTAGCAGTTTGCTGCACAGAAAAGAAGGGGGGGAGGCACTTAGGAAGGTGGAATTAGGAGCTCTCACCTTGTCCACGTAATCGGGAACTTCCTCGACGCTGCGGAAGGAGCTCTCGTTGGGACCAAGAACGTAAAACATGGCCCGGAACTCCTGAAAAACAGAGACAGCTTGTTCAGGGGTCGCTGCGGTGGCTGCCATCCTTGCGGGCCGAAAACGTTTGCACCTCGGCTTCTAGAAAGTGGCGCCTCCTCTTTCAAGCGAAGCTAGAATGAGAGAAAAACAATCCGATGCGGACACGAAAACACTTTAGTCAACTGGAAGAAAGTTCAATTCGCAGGCTATAAAACAATTAGTTTCGTAATGCGATTGGTTTCGCAGTTGTGGCGTGTCATCATATGTCATAGGGAGGATTAGTTTCTCGGTATGATCCTGCACCAGGAAAGCCTTGGGCATAAGATCAAAGAGATAACATTAAGTAAACAGTGGAAAACGTTGCCAGTTTATGGCTTAATTTAAGAGTCATTTTAAACTGTACAGGGAGAGTATTTTAATATTTTTGCAATTGTGAATTGGTTTGAGCATATTATTTTTTAAAATATGCTTTGCACCACCGAGCACCTTTAACTAGTGGGAGTCTGTTAGACGGTATCTTCTGTAAACAGATGTTGGAGCTAACATATTACTGTACGAAAATTAAGACTGTCAGTTAAAAATGCAAGGTTTCCCATTTCTCCAGCATTATCCATTTTGAAGGTTTGAGGTGGAGTTCCTCATTATTTCTGGTGAAAGGAACATCTCACTGACTTTCAGCTTCAATAAATGGCTGAGAGATTTCTCCGTAGTTGTATATTTACAATATGATCAGAGTTTTAGGATAGGATAGGATAGGATAGGATAGGATAGGATAGGATAGGACAGGACAATCTGGAAGAGACCTTGGAGGTCTTCTAGTCCAGCCCTCTGCTCAAGCAGGAGAACCTATGCCATTTCAGGTAAGTGACTGTCTAGTCTCTTCTTAAAAACCCCCAGTGATGGAATACCCATGATTTCTGAAGGCAAGCTGTTCCACTGGTTAGTTGTCCTCACTGTTAGGAAGATTCTCCTTAATTCCAGATTGATTCTTTGGTCAGTTTCCAACCACTGTTTCTTGTCCTCTGGTGCTTTGGATAATAGTTTGATGCCCTCTTCTAGTGGCAGCCCCTCAAATACTGGAATGCTGCTATCATGTCGCCCCTGTTTCTTTTCTTTAGACTAGCCAAACCCAAGTCCTGCAATCATTCCTCATATGTTTTAGTCTCCAGGCCTTTGATCATTTTAGTTGCTTTTCTCTGAACTTTTTCCAAACTCTCAACATCTTTTTTGTAGCATGATGACCAAAATTGGTTGCAGTACGCCAGATGTGGTCTTACTAGGGTTTTATAAAGTGTTTCTAATATTTCGCGTGATCCTGATTCTATGCCTCTTGTTTATATAACCCAGGATTGTATTAGCTGTTTTTGGTTGCTACTGTACACTGCTGGCTCATAGTCAAGTGATCGTCCACTAGGACTCCAAGGTCCCTCTCACAGTTGCTGTTTTTGAGCCAGGTCTCACCTAATCTGTATTTATACCTTTGATTTTTCTTGCTTAAATGTAAACCTTTGCTTTTCTCCACATTAAAATTCATTTTGTTAGATAGGGCCCATTGTTTGAGTTCATTAAGATCTTTTTGGATCCTGAGCTTGTCTTCTGGGGTATTGGCTATTCCTACCAGTTTAATGTCATCTGCAAATTTGATGAGTTCCCCTCCTATTCCCTTGGAGGTCATCTAGTCCAACCCCCTGCTCAGGGAGGAAACCCTATACCATTTCAGACAAATGGCTGTCCAGTCTCGTCTTTAAAACTTCCAGTGTTGGAGCATTCACAGCTTCTGGAAGCAGGTTGTTCCACTGATTAATTGTTCTAACTGTCAAGAAATTTCTCTTTAGTTCTAGGTTGCTTCTCTCCTTGATTAGTTTTCATCCATTGCTTCTTGTCTTGCCTTCAGTGCTTTGGACAATAGCTTGACTCCCTCGTCTTTGTGGCAACCCGTGAGATATTGGAACACTGCTATCATGTCATTTCTCATCCTTCTCTTCATATTAAAGAGTACTGGGCCTAAGATGGAGCCTTATGGTACCCCACTGCTTACTTCTCTATTATTGTGGTGTTAAATATGGAATTTGCTACAGAAGGGAAATCACAAGAATGAATGAAGACTAGACCCTAAGTTCACTGCTAAATAAAACATCCTCATGACTGGCGTACTCCTTTCAGCTTCCTTCCATTTTCTTGTTGGATTTCCTTTATGAGTTTTTTTTTCTTTGCTTATTGAAGTCAATGACCCAATATTGGGTATGTGTAGATTAACACCAAATCTTGACATTTCTGTTGAGATTATGTTATAGCCCACGGGTGTCAAACTCGATTGCATCACATGACCTATCATGACGTATCATGATGTTTTTTGCCTTTGAAGAGCCAGGGTGGGCGTGGCCTGCACATGATGCATCCAACCTGTGGGCCGCTAGTTTGACACCCCTGTTATAGCCTATTATTTTTATTTCCTTGACTAGAAAGTATTGATCTATCTGATGGTACAAACGCTTTGGCTGGGTTGAATAAAAACCAGTGGTGGGATTCAGCCAGTTCACACCACTTCGGCAGAACCAGTAACTAATTTTTTGGTGCCCAGGCTTAGAATGGACTTCCAGAAGTGGCATCCACACAGAGAACCGGTTGTTCACATATTTGAATCCCATCCACTGATAAAAACTGTAGCTATGTGGTTTGGGAAAATTAGTTATATTGTCACTTTTCCTTAAAAAAGTTCCTTCACTTACTACTCAAACCAGGATATTGGCAGTAATTTCTCCCCCAATAAATCTCTAATAGTGCCTGTTTGTATGTACAACCATTATTCACTAAAATGTATGAGTAGTCATAGAGAGCAATGTTTATGGTGTAATGCCCTCCATGTGAATGTTAACTTTTATGCCACAATTTAAAAATAAAGAAACAGGGATTTCTTTAGGCTGGGATTTCCTAATTGACTAAAAGTTTATTTCAGTATCTAAGGAAACTAAATTCTTAGAGGAAATTAAGGAACTGCAGAATGTGATCTGCAGGCAGCTCATGTTTTTGTTTTCTCTGAAGAACTCTGTTCCACCCACTTTATAATAGAAAACACCCAGAGACTTTCTGTTTGAGTCTCTTCAGAACATTGTAGCAACATTAAATAATATTGGATAGGGTTAGAATGGGTTGCCTTGGCAGTAGTTTACTGCAAAGTGAAATTGCATCCAGATATGAGTTGGGAGTAACTTGTATGAATACGAATTGAAGTTATATTAAATATGGGAAATAGCTTTGCATAATAATAAATATATTAGATCCATAAAAATATACTACATTTTAGTTTAGATCTTCATTTATGTGAGCACTGTAGCAATACTGTAAATTATTCCTTTCTGATATTCATATGATAAGAACCTGCATGTTCATTATTCCCTATGTGCTAATCTGGTACAATAATATGATATCTGTAATTGCAAAAGAGTTCCAAGTTCATCATTACATAATCATAAATTTATATATTTGCATTGCTTAAAGTTTGCCTAACCCATTATCTAATTCTGTTCCTTTAATCTGCACATGATTAATAATTGTAGCCAGCAAAATATTTTGCAGGTAGTGAATTGTAGCCAGCAAAATATTTTTGCAGGTAGTATTTTGCCACCTAAGTAAATGATTAATCTTCATAAACAAGAGCTGAAAATGTCCAAATTACCATGCCCACAGACTGTGTTGTGGAGAAAACTTTGTGCTAATTAATACTTTAAATAAGCTACCTTGCAGCCTGTTGTTACAACTATAAAATTGGTAGGATTTGTATCTGTCAATCTATTTATTGAGAAGATCTATGTTTTCATTATTGTACAAATATTAAACAATAAAAAATATAGTAACACTAGTCAAAAATAGCTGTAATAAAAACTAAAGTCCTATAATGTAAAAAGATATATGTAGAAATCCAATTTCTATCAGAACAGATGTAAACATTCATGCATGGTGGGAAAATTACAGACAGAAAAGAATTTTTTCATCCTCAGCATAAAAGATTTGAACTTGCACTAATAAAGTGAGTTCTTCACTAATAGGATATATCAACCAGCGATTCTGGCTAAGATTATATATTGTATATAGCCATAATGTAGTTTCCTTGGCTGCACTTTAGTGCAGCATGTAGGTAGTCCTCAATTTACAACCACAATTGGGCCCTACCACTTTCATTGGTAATCAGAACAGTTGTTCAATAGCTCACTACTTTGTGCCATGGTTAAGTGAATCATGCAACTATTAATCAAATTCAGTTTCTTCATTGACTCTGGTTCTCAGAAGCCTTCCGTGAAAGTTGTAAATGGTAATTGAGACACCCCACACACATACACGCACACCACAGTTTTTGTAAGCCTCAAAGAGTCACTGAAAATGAATGGATGGCCATATAAATTAAATTAAATGAATAAATAAAACCATTGTAAATATATGCCAGTTGCTAAGCATAAGTTGAGAAGTGCCTATATAAATAGTTTTTGCATTCTAGTTTATGGCTTAGTGTGAGCCCAATGTTAAGTTCACCATAACCTGATATGGAATTAAATATTATCACATGGTTACTACTTTAAAAAAATAATTATAATTGCAATATATCACTATGTTTCTTTGTGCATTTAATCCTTCTGCTGCATTTCCTGGTTGATTCTTCATAGGACTGGCACTCCCTATGCAGTACAATAGGCCACAGCCAGAATTTGCTTTCCAGAGCACCTGATTCTGCCCTCTCAGTTCCCATATTGAACAAGAAATTGGAGGAGAAAATGATAAAACATAAGTCTGCATTACCATGAGCCAAGACCATCTGGAAAGTTACAATATATTCAAATTCAGATGAGTGGATGCCTAGATTCTCTTTGGATTTCACAGCTTCATAGCCTATCTGCAGTTTACGCTAAGCCATAGTTTGCTTAGCCATAGTTTATAGGGGAAAAACACATTTGGTTGCATGCATCAATATACTTAGCACAAATAGAATGAACTATTTTATGCTTTGGTGAGATCTTTTAAATCACAAAAGGTAGCCAGCTGCAAAAGATGTAAGATGCTCAACACTTTGTGTCACTTTACTTCTGTCCTGTTTCAAGCAAATGCCTTAACAGACATATTGTACAGGAAAGAATAATAAGAATTCCCCAGGATGGAAGTTCAGACTGCAATTTAGTTATAAAAATGCTTTGGATTACAGCCCTTTCAAGATGGAAAACACATAATTCTTTCCTCTGTCATTCCTGC